GGAGCTCAGGACCATGGGGTGGGGGGCTGCGGAGCTCAGGACCATGGGGTGGGGGGCTGCGGAGCTCAGACCCCAAGAGGTGGGGGGGGCTACAGAGCACAGATTGCAGGGGGTAGGGGGACTATGCAGCTTGGGACCTGGGGGGGTCATGGAGCTCAGGACTGTGGGGTACGGGGGGCTGCGGAGCTCAGACCCAGGGACTGGGGGGGCCATGAAGCTCAGGATGGTGGGGTGGGGGGGCTGCAGAGCTCAGACTCTAGGGATGGGGGTGGGTGCCTCCCTGCGGAGCTCGGGACCTGGGGGGCTGCGTTGCAGTAGCTGGAGCCTGGGATATGGCGTTTCCCAGTCATTACTTAGCCTCCTTTGAATTGAACTAATAGTTCTCGAGATAATTACCAGTTTGCCACATAAAGTATTTAGAAAACCATCAGCTTCCCAGCTATTGAATTGCTGTATTTGCTTATATGTGTTTTTCTATAAATACAGATGCACTGTAATTATCCCTCAGAAGGGCTGCTGAAACCCAGCACCCGGGGAACTGCTTCCCCGGGGGCCCCCTCTGCCTGAGTCAGGGTGACCGGCCTGCAGGAGCTGCTGTTTCCATAATAACTCTTCCTCCCTACGGCCAACTTTCTGTCCCCTACACACACACACACACACACACACACACACACACACACACGCACGCACGCACGCGTGCACACACACTCACACACACACATACACACACACACACTGATTTTTAACAAATTATTAATAGTTAGAATTCCAAAGACTTTGAAGTTTACAAAGCACTTTACAAATATTATCTCATCTGATCCTCAGAATAATTCTGGGAGGCCGGGGGCTAGTATTATCCCCCTTTTACAGATGAGGAAACTGAGGCAGGCAGTGGCAAAGTGACTTGCTCAGGGTCTCACAGCTAGTAAGTGTCTGAGGCCAGGGTTGACACTGGTCTCCCTGACCCAGGCCCAACGCTCGGAGCACTTGACCCCTGGCTGCTTTACACAGATCTTGGCATAACTCTCTCCTGCCTGATTCCCTTCACAGACTTTGTCTTCTGTGCGCCTCCCTACAGCTACGCAATCCCTTCCTTCCCCTCCTCCTCCATTAGAACGGAACCGTCTTGAGGGCAGGCACTGTCTGGGCTCAGATGTGTATTCCCCGCTCAGTGCCTGGTACGCAGAGGGCACTTCATAGATGCTTGCTGCCTCGGCTTGCCCCCTGCCCCCTCCACGTGGCCAGCATGACTTTGGAGCAGGGACCCGGAGGGACTCCACGTCCCGCAGGCTTTGTGCCAGCCCCGCAGGGTCAGCATTTTCGAGGGGACGTCCAAGGTACAAACTTTGTAGGAAAGACCCAGAAGTCCGGCTGGTTTTGTTTTCTTTAATTTTTCCCAACAGGCCCTTTTGGTCCCGGTCAAGATCACCTTCCAGCTATACTAGTGGCCGAAGGCCCCGATCAAAGCGAGCTGGGAATCAGAGGGGCCACGAGCATCACCTGTGCCCACGCAGCAGCTCAGGTCACCCGGCCAGGTGGGCTCGGGTAAGGACTGCGTCCACAGAGACTTCTCTTTCAGCGGTCCTTTCAAAAGTTTGTTCTTTGAAAGAAAAGGTCCAGGGGGCAGCTAGGTGGCACAGTGGATAGAGCACCGGCCCTGGAGTCAGGAGGACCTGAGTTCAAATCCGGTCTCAGACCAGACACTTGACACTTACTAGCTGTGTGACCCTGGGCAAGTCACTTAACCCCAACTGCCTTGCAAAAAAAAAATAAAAGTAAGAAAGAAAGAAAGAAAGAAAAGGTCCAGTCAAAGGTTCTTCGGTGTGCTAAATTCAGCAGAGATGCTGATGGCTCCTCCCCTGCCCCCCACTGTGGTGTGCTCCCCTGTGGGTGTTCACAGAGCCTCTGAAGAGCCTGGGGCCGGGGCAATACCCTTCTGGCCCTTCTCACACTGGCCTGACCCAGGCTATTCACCCTACGACCACAAGCAAGTCCAGGGGTGGGAAGCCTGTGGCCCCGAGGCCACATGTGGCCTTTAAGGCCTCTGGTGTGGCCTTTTGATTGGGTCTGGGTTTTATAGAACAAATCCTTTCATGAAGGGGATTTGTTCTGTGAAGTGTGGATTCTGTCAAAGGGCCATCCTTGAGGACCTAGAGGGCCACACGTTCCCCACCGCTGAGCAAGCCCTTTCATTTCTTTTTTTTTTTTTGAAAATTCTATGTATTTATTTATCAAAATCATTACAAACTTGGCCATGCATCAACCAACACACATATACACATATACAAACATATACACACATACATATGACCCCCGGAAGAGGCCTGTCAAGTAACACGGGAAAGGGGATGGAATGACCAAAGCTGGGCCTGGGATGGAGGGTAAAAGAGTTGGGGAAGGGGAATCAAGGCTCCCCTACCTCCTAACCATTAAGGGTTGGGGTGAAAGACGATGCCAGAAAAAAAAAATAAACCTCAGGTCCAAGCATGAAGGAGGGATTGCTTTGGCATATCAAAAACACAGAAACTGGGCAATGCCAACCGGTGACACCTTTAGCAACTTGGTCTAAGAACAAGTGACCCCCCTTCACCCCAGCCAGGAGGAGGAACCAGTCAGGGCTGAGGCCAGGGTTCTCAAGCAAGCAGTCCGGGCTGGCAGCTGAGGGGACGAGGACCCTCTCAAGTCCAGCATAGGCATTCTGATGAGCAGAAGATGTTAGTGAGGGAGAGGGCATCGGGGCAAGGAGAGATCACATGGAAACAGAGGAAAAGCATCACAAAAGTGGGCATTTCTGCCTTTTCCAGGGTCCACAGACCCAACATCCTCTCCTCCCACCTCCCCTCCGCAGGGTCAGAGGAGAAGGGGCGGGGCCGCTGTGGGCACAGCAGAATGGGAACAGGCTGGTAGTAGCTGTCCAGGTCTGACGGGGCTGCCTTCTTCTGAGATGGAGACTTCAGGGAGCGTGAGGTGCCCAGGGGCTTCTCCCTCGGACGGAGAAGGCTGTGGGCCTTTGTCTGGGAACTGCGACTATCCTGGGCCCCCAGGATGGTGCCTGATGGGTGGCCTCCGGGGCAAAGCCTGGTCCTCTGGGTAGAGGGGATCCTGACGGGATGGAGCAGGACGGTCAGGGACGGCGCTCAGGTCCCGCACAGAGAAGATCCGAAGCCTACCAGCGAGGGCACCCTGACCCTTGGCAGCCGCCTGCACTGCGGCGGTGGCAGCGACGTTAAGACCTCGCTTCCCAAAGCTCAGCACTGTCTCATAGCTCCAATCCTTTGCCTGCACAATGTATGAGTCGATCTCCTTTACCTGGTAGGAAGAGGCTGGATGGAGAAACGTCCTATAAAGTAGGCTGGCACCCTTGGTATAAGGGGAGAGGAACCACACCACAAATGCCATCTTGATCTCATAACAGAAAGGGAACCAGGAAATGAAGATGCCTGTGAAGGTCTCTGCTGTCAGGAAGAAGGCAGAGACGCTCCAGTACATCATCCATCCCTTCACAGCTTTACAGGAGGCGTAGGCAGGCTGCAGCATTCCAAATACCAGCACCACCAATCGGGAGATCACCCAGGACACAGCCCTGCTGGCTGGGGAGTGGGGGGCTGACAGAGCAGGGAGAGTGGGGGTCACACAAGTGGGGTGCTCAGGCTTGGGGGTTCACAGCGTTGCTCTGGCCTGGCCGCCGCTGCCACCACTGCCCCATCGGGCCCCAAGGCCCAAGCCCTTTCATTTCACTTCTTCTGAATAAGAAGGAAAAGAATATTGGTAAGATCTGTCTCCCAACACTGTGGAGGAAAGGGCTTTCTAAGCCCTGCAATGCTAGAGAGACAAGAGCTGTTATTGTGATTGCGGTTACCACTCTTATTCTAAGGCTCAGTTTCTTCATCCCGGGAGATGGGGGTCCCGCAGGCACTGATGGGAGGAAGGCACTTTGCAAGCCTTAATGCACCACAAAGCAAGAGCTGCCATCATCGCCACGGCCACCGTCATTATTGGGCCGTCCTCATTCAGGCTCGAAGCCTACAATCACTACCTGTCCTTTAGGCACACAAGTAATCTTATCCGCGGAGGGTGCGAACGACACTTTGACATCATTGGAGAAAGCTTCTATGAAGTGAAGGAGCTGCTTAATGTGTTGGTCAGCGGAGCTGTGTCATCCACCTACGTTAAGTTATTATTTGGACTGTGTTTGGGAAGGATGATTAGGTGAGGCAGAACCACCGTGGGCCCAAATCGTCCCTGAAAGATGCCCCGTTTTACATGCCCAGTGTTCTTGACATCATTGTGTTGTGGAATATTTTAAGTGGAGGAGAATTGTCCCTGTGGATGTCACATCCTTTGGGGTTCACGCCATCTTTGGGTCTATATCTGTGTTTGCAGTATGCGAAAAGACCGTGAGCGTGGAAGTTCGTCTAAGGCCTCGCAGCGATCAGCAGAGGCAGTGGAGATGTTACGGCACTTTCAGGCAGCTTGATCAATCCTTTGGCAATTCTAGGCGCTCAATGCATTGCCAATAGTAATCAATCGATCAATGCCTCCAAGAGTCAAAGTCTATGCCAAGTGCTGGAGATACCGAGACAGAGATGAAATTGTCTAAGAGCTCACATTGAATTGAAAGGGACACCTTGTATACACAGATGAAAATACAAAGTACATTCAGAGTAAGCATAGGTCATTTTCAGGTGGGGAAGGCCCTGGCAGAGGAGGGATCTGGAAATGAACTGGAAGAACAGTGGGCCTCCTCTTTCTCCCTCCCCCTCTTCCTCCTCCCTTTCCTCGTTACTACCATCACAGAGAAGTCTATCCCACTCTGTGATTCACAAAGAACTCTACGTACTATGTCACTGGACCTTCTCAACAACAACAACAGACAAACTGCCAGATCGCTGGCCATCTTTTGCACTCACCTCTAGGAGCTTGGTGTCTGGAACATAGCAGGACTTCCAGTGGTCCAGGAAGACCATATCGACTGTGTTGATTTCATACTTCTTCTTCAGCTGGGGGATGATTTCCTGGGAGGGCCCTTTCAGTATTGAAATCTGAAAATACAGATGTATTGATTATTTATTGGTCCTTTGGTGCAGACAGCAGAGGGTCCTCGCTCTGGAAAGGAGCCCAACCCCCTCATTTTACAGAGGTGGAGGCCGAGGCCCGGGACAGGGTCTTGCTCAGGATCACAAAGACGGCTAAGAACAGGGCCAGGACTTGAGCCTGGGAGCTCCTGGCCAGACATCACAGGCCACATTATCATTCCCGAGATGACCTTTCACGAGAAGACAGTGACTCCAGCTCCAAAGGAGAAAAGGGGCTCTGCTAAGGACGAGGCAGAACTCTGCTGAGAGGAGGAGATGAGGGCTAGGGCCCTGGGGAGAACACTGGCACTGGAGTCAGAGGGTCTCTACCCGTGTGCCTTTGGGCCGGTCTCTTCACCTTTCCCAGCCTTCCCTCTCCTGATAAGCTCCAGTTTACTCTGTTTAGTGCTTGACTGGGGAGACTTTGGGGTGGGTGAAGCCAAGATGGCAGAGTAGAAGAAGCACTCAGCTGAGTTTTCCCAACATTCTCCTCCCAACAACTTTAAAATAATGCCTCAAATGGAATTCTGGAGTGGCAGAGCCAACAAAAAGTCGGGCTGAGACATTTTTTCCAATCCAAGACAACTCAGGAGGTTGGGAGGAGAGATCTTGCACATGGAGGTGGAGGCTGGCCCAGAGCCCAGGTGGATGAAATGCTAGTGGTGGGCCCCGGGGGTGATAGAAGCAGCAGCAGCTTTGGGAGCTCACAAGCCAGAGACGGTAAGGACCGGAAGCTGTCTGGCAACTCCATTACCTATACCCACCTCTGGGTCACAGCTCAAGGTGGAGAGGAGCACTTTAGGCCAAGAGGGAGCAGGGGCCCTGAGGAGCAGAATCAGTTGCAACTCCAAGGGACCAGGTGCCCTTCCAGGGTTAGGACCAGAACACAGACTAGGAGTCCAGTGATGAATGACACCACTCCTCAGATCACATCGCCTTGGGAGCACCCAAAACTTCACAACCTCCAGAACTAGCTCAGAAAACAGCAGCTCAAAAAAGCTGGAAGCTGGGGGCAGTACTCTCTGACCCTGGCCACCTACCCACACTGGGAACAGAGCTCACCTTTAACATAAAGTTCAAAATAAGAAAAATAGGAAGGAAAAATGGGCAAGCAACACAAAAAGAACCTGACCATTAAAAAACTACTAAGGTGACAGGGAAAGATCAAGACATAATTCAGAAGAAGACACTGAAGTCAAAACAGCTACAAATAAAGCCTCACAGATAAATGTGAATTACACACAAGCCCAACAAGAATTCCTGGAAGAGCTAAAAAATGAGTTTCAAAACTCAATAAGAGTTATGAAATACTACTGTGCTATAAGAAATAATGAACAGGCAGACTTCAGAAAAACCTGGAAAGACTTGTATGGACTGATGCTGAGTGAGGTGAGCAGAACCACGAGAACGTTGTATACAGTAACAGCCACGTTGTGAGATGACTAATATTGATAGACTTAACCCTTCTCAGCAATACAAGGATCTAAGGCATCTCTAAAGGCCTTGTGATGGAAAATGCTATCCGCATGCAAAGAAAGAACTATGAAGTTTGAATGCAGATCGAAGCATACTATTTGCTATTTCTTTTCTTCTGTTGTGTTTTGTTTCCTCTTTCTGGTGGTTCCTCCTATTGGCTCTAATTCTTACTTACAACATCATTAATGTGAAAATATGTTTAATAGGAAAAAAAATTCAATAAGAGTAGAAGAAAATTAGGTAAAGAAATGAGAGGAAAAGAAGAAAATGATGAAAAAACAACAGCTTGGAGAAAGAGGCACAGAAAATACTGAAGAAAATGACGCCTTCAAAAAAAGAATTAGCCAAATGGAAAAAGGAGTACAAAACTTCTGACTCCTTAAAAATCCGAATTGGCCAAATGGAAAAGGAGGTACAAAAGCTCAATGAAGACAATAATTCCTAAAAAATTAGAACTGGACAAGTAGAAGCTAATAACTCCTCGAGACATCACGAAACATAAAACAAAGTCCAAACCAGTACGTAATTTTTTGCGTGTTGTCTCTCCCGCGAGACTGGGAGCTCCTTGGAGGCAGGGACTGGCTATCTTTCACCTCTCTTTCTATCTCCAGTGCCTAGCCTGGCACCTTGCCAGAGCTTAACGAATGCCTGTTGACTGACCTCGGTTTCTTCCTATGTAAAATAGAGGGATCGACTAGCTGATTGCTGAGGTCTCTTTCAGTGCTGATGTTCCATGTTCTAAAATCCTTTGTAACTCTGAAATCCTAAGAAGAAGCTGGTGGTACAGTGGAGAGTTCGGAACCTAGAATCAGGAAGACCTGAGTTCAAATCCAGTCTCAGAAACTTCCTAGCTGTGTGACCCTGGGCTAGTCATTTAACCCCTTTTGTCTCAATTCCCCATCTGTAAAATGGGGACACACGGGTGAAGGAAATGGCAAACCACTCCAGTATTTCTGCCAAGAAAACCCCAGAGGGGGTCACAAAGAATCAAACATGAGTGAATAACAACAAAAGCTGTGGGTTTGTGTCTTGCCAGTGAAACACGCTAACTGTCCTGGTTCATGGATTTACAAAGGGCCCCACAGATTAGGAAAAACACATCTTCCCGAGGGGCTGCCCTCTCTCTGCCAGCCCCTGGCGATACGCACGACCCTGGATCCCGAGCCGCCAGGACAGAGGCCTTGGTGCCGCCCCCATCCCAAGGGACCGAAGGCTCAAAGGACTCCCGTTACCGCAGGTCAGACGTTCTTCCTGTGGTTGAGTCACAGACCCCCTGGCAGCCTGGGAAACCTCTGGGCCCCTTCTCAGAAGAATGCTTTTGCATAATGAGAGGAAATGCTAAATTTTGGTTAGAGGTTTGTGAAAACAAAGATGGAACTTTTTTTTTTTTGATCCAAGTTTAAGGAGTCCATGAAATGTACCTGACGAAACAAATGCAGACCCCATGGTAAAAATCCTCACTTTAGTCTAGCCCACCCATTTCACAGATGAGAAAACTGAGGCCCAAAGGGGAGAAGGACTTGGCCAAAGACTCACAGCCAGGGGCTCTGGCTCCTTCCCTTCCCCTTCTGGCGGTGAGACTCTACCTTATCTTGCAGGCCGGCCACCTCGATGACCTGCTGGGCAATGGCCGCGAAGCTCTCATTGCACTCGATGGAGAAGAGGTGCCCGCCGGGGGGCAGCAGGCGGGCCATCCTCACGGCGGAGTAGCCGCAGTATGTTCCCAGCTCCAGCAGGATCTTGGGCTTGACCTCCTCTATGACCTTGTCCACGATCAGACCTGAGAGGAAGGCAAGAGGATGGGGTGCACGGGGTGCATGGGGAGGGGTCAGCCGTGGCCTCGCGGGGCAGAGGCTGGAGTGGGGGGGAGAACCTGCCTGGGCTTCCTGGGGAAAGAGGGGTAGTGAGCCCCCCGGCCTTGGAGCTCTTTGGGCAAAAGCAGGAGGACCACCTGCTGGGGGTGAAGGAAAGGGGGGTCCAGGCCTGGGCTACACGAGGCAGGTCCTGACGTTCCTTCCAAGTCTGGGGGTCTGGGAGAAGACCAATGTTTTTCCACATCCATGCCCTAACTCAGCTGCTCCCTCCACCTGAAACACCCTCACCGTCTTCTTTTCACAGGCCGGATTCCTATCCATTCTTTGGTACCTAACCCAACTGGCAGCCCCTTGCCCAGGCCTCAGAGAGCTGAGGGCTGTGTAACTAACTGCCTGATACAGGGGCATGGAAGAGAGTATGTTAGCTCGGCAGGTAGGACTGTAAGCTCCCTGAAGGCAAGCCCCACCTGATATGCACTTTGCACCTCCCCAGCAGAAGGCCCAGGGCTCCCAACTCAGCAGGTGGTTGAACAAAGGGGCCCTGTTGCTACTGTGATCATCTTGACTTGGAGACTGGAGGAGAGCTTGGGCCAACTCAAGGGAGTGGAAAAACACCTGCCTGAAGACTGGAGTGAGAGGCCCTGGGTTCAAATTCTAGCTCTCCTACCTATAATCTTGGTGATCTTGGCTCAGTCACATCTGTGCTAGAGGCCCCATTTGTCACACAGCAGCTCATGTGGCCAAGCCTCATTTTCCTCATCTAGAAAATGGGCATGATAATACTGGCAGTATTTCATGGGGCTACTGCTAAAAGCAGATGAAATTAGGTCTACAAAGTGCTCTGCAAACATTCCTAGGTGACATTAATGCCAACTATTATTCATAAAGATACTTCTCAGGCCCCTCCCAGCCCTGACATCCCCTGTCCTGAGGCCCTTCCCAGCTCTGACATTCCTTGTTCTGAGGCCCCTCCCAGCCCTGACATCCCCTGTCCTCAGGCACCTCCCAGCCCTGACATCCCCTGTCCTCAGGCCCCTCCCAGCCCTGACATCCCCTGTCCTCAGGCCCCTCCCAGTCCTGACATCCCCTGTTCTCAGGCCCCTCCCAGCTCTGACACCTCCTGTTCTAAGGCCTTTCCCAGCTCTGACAAGCTCTGTTCTAGGTTCTAAAGTCCATTCCCAAGTTAAAACTCCATGATTCCCTTTACTACCTTAGAACTCAATTCCACATGTGGTCATTCAGTGTGTCAACTAGGCCTGTCGGACGCTGTCCAAGGTGCTAAGGCCACAGGCCCTTCCTTCAGGGAGCTAACACCACACACTTGGACAAATCTACCCACAGGATGCCCAAAGGAATCCACAATCACTGGAGCTGCTGGGGGAGCCTCTGAGTGTGGTGGTGTGCATGGCCGTGGTTTGCTCTTCATTCTCCAAGAGGGCTGTGACATCAGGGAGGTGATACCATTACTTGGATTTAAGTGAGGAAAGGCTGTGCAAGGTCCCCAGGCTTACTCTCTCCTCCTCCGAGCCATCTGGAGCCAGCGGGGAGATATGGATCAGGACGACTGGAGATGGCCCCGGGGAAGCCTCCATAGGGGAGGTGAGGATGGAGACGGAGAAGAAGCCAGGCACCACGACGGGGAGGGAGAGCCTTCCAGGTCCTGGGGGGGGCAAAGGGTACAAAGCCCCTCCCGCTCACTGAGCCAGCCAGAGACAAAGAACCAAAGCAACTGGCCTCCTAACAATTCCTCAGACCTGCTGCTCCATCTCCCACCTCTGCTTTGACCTGGTTACCCTGCTGGCCAAGGATGGCGAAGCTCTCCCTCTCCGCTCCGGACTCTTAAGAGACCCTAGTGTTCTCCAAAATTCTGCTACACGAAGGCTTCCCTGACATACAGTAGGTGTTTAATAAATGCTTGTTGTTGATCTCCCCACCCCCGGGGCCTTCCCCCACCAATTACATTGGATCATCTTGTCTTCCCAAGAGAACGCAAGCTCTCGGAGGGCAGGGACAGGACCTGTACAGCAGAGGCTTACTAAACAGCCTGTCCAACCCGCCCCGCCCCAGTGCCTGCTCACCTTTGACATCGCCTACATTCATGGCCCACTCCTTCTGGTAACAGTACTGGTCGATGGTGTCCAACACGCTCTGGGGATCGCCCACCACCGCATGCTGCTTTACCCAGTCCAGGATTCGCTCCTCTTTGCTCAGGCCCGACATGAAGTCTTTGATGAACGGTAGGATTTGTTCGTGCCAGAAAAAAACCAAGAAGTTTCTGAATTTCCAGGCCAGGAGCAGCAGCAACAGGGCACCAGCAATCAGAATGGTCTGGCTCTCCAGCATCTGCAAAAACGACACCTGGCCTCAGTACCTAGGAGCGCGTGACGGCTGGTCAGGAATGACGGGAGGGGGAAGGGGAGGGGAGGACAGAGAGAGAGACAGGGAGGGGAGGGGGGAGGGGAAAGGGGAGGAGAGAGGAGAGGGGAGGAGGGAGAGAGGGAGAGAAAGAGAGAGAGAGAGAGAGAGAGAGAGAGAGAGAGAGAGAGAGAGAGGAAAGTGGAAGGGAAAAGGGAAGGGAGAAGAGACAGAGAGAAAGAAAGGGAGAGGGGAAAGGGGAGGGGAGGAGAGGAGAGGGGAGAAGGGAGAGAGAGACAGGGAGGGAAGGGAGAGAGGGAGAGGGAAAAGGGAAGGGAGAAGAGACAGACAGACAGAGAGAAAGAAAGGGAAAGGGGAAAGGGGAGGAGAGAGAGAGAAAGAAAAAGGGAGGGAGACAGAGAGAAGAGAGGGGGGAGAGGGAAGAGGGGAAAGGAGAGAGGAGCGGAGAGGGGAGACAGGGACAGGCTGACCAGCAGCTGTCCAGGATAACATGAAGAGGTCTGGGAGTAGAACAGCAAGCATGAGCCCTGGAAGGGCCAGTGCCAGGCATGAAACGTCAGGGTAGTCCAGGCTTGGGGGATTAGGGTTCCCCAATGCAGATCCCCAACTCGCTCTTCTAGACCAGTTTGAGAGCTACTGCAGTAGCCCAGGTGAGAGGGGACAAGGTCTGAGCCCTGGTGGAGGCTGGGGGAGGGGAGAGGAGGAGATGGCTGGATGACAGGAGAGATGCTGTTCAGCAAAACTCACAGGGCTCCGTGTGTACCTGGATTTGAAAGCAGATGGAAGAAGAGGCAGAGGTTCAGAGGTGACTCCAAGGTGGTGGCCACCATCCTGGACTGGGTCTGAGATGCAGAGCCGGGTAGGACCAGAACAAGGTAATACAGTGCGGGTCTTGGAGCCAGGCAGATCTGGGTTCAAATCTTGCCTTGGACACTTACTAGTTGTACGAACTCTGGCAAGGTGCTTCACCTGTCTCTGTGTGCCTCAGTTTCCTCACCTGTAAGATGGGGGGTTGGACTCCTAGTTCTCTAAGGTTCCTCCCAACTCTAATCCCTGATCCTGTAATCCACCTGGAAGGGGCTGGTTTGCTGTGAAATTCAAACCAGCCCCTGAAAGGGCTTAGCTTCAATCTGCTGGGCCTGGAGGCAGAGCCAGGGGTCTGGGCTCAGAATCAGGACACTTCCCTGCCTGCACTGGGACACAGGATCCCGCAGTTACTAAAGCCCTTGGGAGTCCTGAGTTTCCCTCAAAGCTACCTTCATTCCATAGGAGTCTAGTCAAATCAAGAAGTATTTATTAAACACACCTACTATGTGCCAGGCCCTAAGCTAAGCGCTGTGGATACAAAAAGAGGCCAGGGACAGTCCCTGCCATCAAGGAGCCTCCCATCCAATGGGGGAGACAGCCTGCAAACAAATATATGTGAAGCAAGCCATAGACCGGGTAAACAGGAACGAACAGAGGGAAGGCCCTGGGATTAAGAGGGACTGGGAAGGCTTCCTGTAGGAGGGGAGATTTGAATTGGGACTCAAAGGAGGCCAGGGAGGCCAGAGAGGAGGAGAGGCCGGCCAGAGAGAAGGTCCAGAGCTGAGAGAGGGAGGGGCTCGTTCATGGAGCAGCCAGGAGGCTGGGGCACTGGGCAGAAGACGGCCTAAAGGACAGTCTGGTGGTTGGGGGCACCTTTTATGAAGAGCTGTAAAGATCAAACAGGATTTTAGATTTGATCCCAGAGGCCTTTCCTGGGCCATCCCCTTTACGTTGTATTTACTGACTGTTTGCATGTCTATGTGTGTATGTGTGTGTGTGTGTCTGTATGTGCACACATACAATGTATCCACTTCTAAGGGCCCACACTGTCTCTCCCTCCATACAGTGTAAGCGCCCTGAGGGCAGGGGCTGTCCCACCTTCGTCTTTGGATCCCTGCTGCCAAGGATACAGCCTAGCACACAGAAGGCACTTGATCTATGTCTGTTGACTGACTGACTGATGAACTCCTGGGCAGTACAGGTCCGATAAGAGAAGCCTGGCCATCCTGGCCACGGTGGCTTTCTCATGAAGCTTGAGGGAGAAGGAGAGGAGGACTCAGACCAAACTGGAAAAGGAGTAGCCTCGGTGGGCCGCGGCTAGAAATGAAGCCCCAAAGCCCAGGGACGCTGAGGGTGTGACAGAGCAGGCAAACGGCCCAGGCCGACGCCCGGGGCTGCAGAGGCCTCTCAGCAGGTACGGAGAGCAGTGGGAATACACTAAGAGAAGACAAGGAGTGTGACCTCAGAGGTCTTCTGAAGACAGGCTCATCAGGAAAGATGGAGGGGGCCAGCGGAAACGAGCAGTGACATCACCTGGCTCTGTCCACAATGTGCTTTATGTCTGAGACAGCATGGGATCTGGAGTCACAGGAGCCCTGGGTGCGAATCCTGGTCCTGCATCCTACTACAAATATAACTTCCGGGCCTCAGTTTACTCAACCGCAAAATAAATACATTGGACTAAATGGAGTCCCTTTCAGCTCTAAACCTATGATCTTATATGCATTATTTCATTTCATCCTTTGTTGGGTAAGAACCATAGGCATTATTGCCCCCATGGAAGGGCAGGTATTTCCAGAAATCACCCTTGTAAAAATGAAATGCACCAAGACTTTTTTTTTTTAAATGACCAAGCCCAAATGACTCAGGTCTAACAAACTAGAGAAGATGACAAAAGGTGGGAACGATTAATGTTGGAGAGGCTGTGGAAAGAGAGGCACACACATGCATTGTTGGTGGAGCTGAGACTTGGCCCAAACATTCTGGAAAGTGATTCAGAACCAGGCAAAGAAGGTGACTGAAATGCTCATGCCTTTCACTCCAGACATCCCAGCGTGGGCAAGTGCTCAGAGCCAGGCCATCTGACTCCACCCCCAGCCTGGCTCAGCAGGAAGAATGCAGGAGGGCAAGCTCAGAGCTAGCCTTTGTCACTCCTCCTCAACCAAGCCGATGCTGAGTCCTGTCCGTTCAGACTCCATGATATCCCTCCCATAGTCCCCTTCTCTGCTGTTGGTGCCCACCAGCCTCATCTGGCTCCTCCGAGAATATTCCAACAGGCTGATAATTGGTGCCCCCCCCACCCCCGCTTTTTTTTTCTCTCCTTCTCAATCCATCCTCCATGGCCCCACCTGGTGGCTTAGATGTTAAAGTGAGATTCTTAAGGGAGGCAGTCAGGTAAGCGGATAGAGAGCTGGCCTTGAAGTCCTGGGTCCAAGTTCTATTCCTGCCACAGCCGGGCTGGGTGGGCGACTCCGTGGCCTCTCAATGCCACTCGATGAGCCCACCAGCTGCTGAGCAGGTGTGGCCCTTCTACATTGGCAGAGGGAGCTTCCGCACTGGAAGTTCCCCATATCAGTGAAGTCCCAGGTCCAGCCCCTCTCCACATGGAAGAGGTGACGAATGAAGGGCTCTCACTGACCCTCTGCACCGCCTGACCGAGCCCCCCGTTTCCCAGGAAACACGGAGAAGGGGACAAGTAATTAAGGCCTCTATTACCTGGTAATCTGCCTCTATCCTCTGCTTCCTGTTGCCGCAGAGACACGGAAGGGGGGATAAATGTTTTTGCCATTCTGAGCCGAGGCGGCCGCTATTTACTGGGGATCGTGGCCTTGGACTCGTCTGCTAGCAAACCCCCTGCGCCCGACCTTAAGACCCTGCCCTCTCATCACGTGCCTAGATCCAGAGCGGGGAGTTGCCATGGAAATGCCCCCCTCCGGTCAGGCGGACGGATGCCTGCTGACCCACTTATCTTAGCCACAAAACAAATGCAGCTTTGTTGGGAGCGGCTCCTTTTTCAGCCTTTCAATAACTGCCAAGTACCCATATCTATCTGGGCAGGATTTCCTCCCAAAAGAGGTCTATCACTCCTCCAAATCCTCAGATTTAAGATCGGTGGCTCAACAGCACAAATAACAAAGCTCCTACTAAGTGCCCACTATGGAGAGAAGCAGCATGGTGGTAAAGGACACTGGAGTCAGGGAGACAAGTTCAAATCCTGCCCCCAGATGCCCACCTGCGGCACTTCACTCTCTGGGCCTCAGTTTCCTGTTCTGTGAAATGTGGGGTTGGACTCAGTGGTCTCTAAGGCCCCCTCCAGCTCTAAAGCCTAGGGGTCCCCTGCCCTCAAGGGCCTCTACTCTAGCCACACCGACTGCTGGGTGTACTCGTGACAAAGGATTCAGAGTTCAATCTAATCTGACAAGTATTTGCCCTCTCACTGCCACGGCCAAGGCCCTTCGAGGCTCAGGGGCCCCTTTCTAGCTTCCCCAGGCTGGGTCGGCCGATGTGGCCTGCGTGTCAAGCCTGTGGCTGGCACCAGCAGGGCTACAAGGGACAGATGATACACCAAGCCGAGCCGCCAGCATTCATTAGGCTCCTGTGGGCGCCCATGTGCCGGGCACCGGGCTGGGTGCTGCTGGGGAGCTTACTGTAATCACCCACGTGAAATGTGAGAGGTACTTCATCCTGGTCAGGCCGCAGCCGGAGCTCCAGGAAGGGGATTTTGGGAAGGACGTTGAAAAGTTGGGGTGCTAGCTAAGGAGGTGAAAGGGTTCTAGACTGTCATGTGTAAGAGCTGGGGACGTCCAGCCTGAAAAAGAGAAGGAACAAGACGCTAGTGGCTGCAAGGACCCATGGGGCTGCCACGGGGAGGGAGGATTAGCTTTGTCAGCCTTCGAGGCCCCAGAGGCTAGAGCAATGAGGGGGCACTCAACTGAGGCAGTTCTAGGGGCCTGATGGTTTGGGCTGCCCTGGGGCCTTGAGGCCTCCTCATGCCTCGGGCCCCCCCCAGCCAAGGCCGGAGGACCCCTCGAAAGGCAGGTAGGAGAAGGGCTCCCCAAGAGGTGTGGGCCAGACTTGGTGGGGCCTCATGCCCCATCTAACTGCCATGGTGCCTCTCCACAAAGCCACGCTGGAGAGACAATACACGCGCGCACACACAC